AGCTATACTTTTCACTGTTAGTGCACTTTATGCAATGAAAATAGCAAGTGGAAGTGTGGAAGTGTGATTGGAGATACAGCACATTAAGGCAGAGGAGCTAATCTCCTAACTGTGTTGTACTGGGAGGAAATAGTTGCTTATAACTTAAACTTTTGCTTTTAAAATAGGAGAAACTTCCTTTATTTTGCTTAATGGATCAACGTAATCTATGTAATCTATGAAACTCCAACTTTATGTAATGAGATACATTTTCTAATGTAGGTTAAAGTTAAAGAAAAAAAACTTGTTTAATATTTGTGCATCAACATATATGAGTGATTGTTGAGAGCACTCACAGTCTATGAATATTTAAAGTTGGATCAACACTGTCCATCGTAACATTAGCACGTGCCACCGTGTGAAGAGGGGCATGGTGGTGTTTTACAAGAGTGCAGTTGGAGGTGTAAACAAAGGCAAGCAATGAATAATAAAGGTAATGAAATCCTTCAATAAATTCTCTTCATCTGTACATCACTTCAGACCTCATTAAAAGAATTCACCCAGCTCATATGCGGCCTTGAAGTGCGGCGTGCTGTCTGTCGGTGTTCTTGTTGCTGTTTTTCTTTCTATCAGCAGCTGCTTATTCCACTGAAACTCTCAGTCACTCTGCAGCTGTCGGCTAACAAGAGTTCAGATCTGCTTCCAGCTTTCAGTCACCCACTCGGCCAGTCAGGCTAGCACTTTTGGCTCTGTTTGTCTTCTCCCTTTCTCGATCTATCTTTATGTCATCTCCTTTCACGCTTTTTTGTTTTCCCTCTTTGACCCAGTCTTTTGTTCCGACATTTTTCCTCCTTTCCTCCCACAGACACCCTTCGGATATCTCAAATTCTCACGCTGCTCCCCTCTTTCTGTGCCAGCTAGTCCTATGGGGTCAAACAGTAAATGCCAACAGCAAATGCTACAACAGCCGCGGCCTCGACAAGAAGAAGGAGGAGAGGACATTTTATCCAAAACCAGAATAGTCGACTACACGGGGCGCCAAGTCATCCTTCAGAGGCACATGTATGTGAGTGTGTGTTTGTAAATGAGATCCATTCAGCAGGTCAAAGTGAGTTTGTCTACAATGGGTCGGACAAGCGTTTGCACAATGACAGCCACGCTTTTAAAATGCTGTGAGGATCTACCAAGAGGTCTCATCTTACTAAGGACAACATTGCATTTGTGTGTATTTATGTAGCGTAGTGTGTTTGGTTACTCATCGCTGACAAACTATCTTCCATGTTACATTTATGAGTATTTTTCTTTGATTTTTTTCAGTTTTAAAGACAGAAACTAAGATACACTGTTCAACTTTTGTTTGACTTTTACACCACATGTAATCCTCCCAATGGACTTAAGTGATACTACACTAGCTTGTGATCGTACCTGGAAGCCACGAGGTAGAACAAGAAACCTTTTGCTTGTTAGACAAATGTTTTTACACTTACATTATAGAAACACATAATGTTTTAGATGACATTGTGTGTCCTCTTCATTTTTATTATAGTGTTATAGGATACATACCAGCTATCCCTGAGGGGTTAATGTGTAAAATGTGCAAAATGTCAATAGCGTAGGAGTTAGCGTGTTTGCCTAACACACAAAAGATCTCCAGTTTGCAGCCAGGAGGAAACACAAACCCCAACATTGTGCCGTGGGGATCACAAGCTAGTGTAATCCCACTGCTGCTGCCAATCCTGGGTAAATGGAAGATTTGTGTCAGGAAGGGAGTCTGGTGAAAAAGGACTGTGCCAAAACAAAAGTTTTATTAACCTCACAGAAATATCGTAATTGGTTGAACAAGAAAATTCTAACTACCAGAACTAAATCGTAGCACAAACAAAAGCAAAAGTTGAGAAAATTGAAACAGCCAGTCAACCAAGTTGCTTACATGTTATCAGTTTTCTCAACTTTTTCTTTATTTACAGTGAGTATCCAGCATGGCCGAAGAGGCTATTTTAGTGAGGGTGTTCTCCTTCTATGTGTGAGAACATGTCTTTTATCTGTGCATTGTCAAAGGCTGCCCAAGTCCATTTGATTGCCTCTCTAACATGGTATAAATAGCCTAAAGAGCAACAGGGGATTCACCCTCTATTATAAGTATCTAAATATCAACAGCTATTAGCCTGCCTGTCTCCCTCTGGCTGCTCGTATCATCCAAAATAGCATTACCCAGCTGTCGGTCAGCCTCCGGCTCAGGCTCATGATGCACAAGCGGCAAATTGGACATATACACTAACTGTATACGGAGGGAAAGAAGGACACTTGAGTTAAATAAATAATTCAGATTGGAAACTGGAAGCAGCTAACCTTGGTCAGTCCAATAGTAACAAAACCGCCTACAATCTGTGCAAATACTGAAGTGGAGAAATTATAATTTGCCATTTCTCACCCAATAACTTCCCTGGAGCCTGCAATGGTTGCCTGGCCACGGAAACCTGAGTTTGGTGTGGAAAAACTTAACAGGCCGTAAGACCATCTGTCAGTTTCCTGAACTGCTGCACCGACTACAAGCCAAGTCTTATCGGCCAGCGTCAGTGGCTCACTCACTTATGCTCTCCTAACTGAATGGGATGGAAGGAGATAGGTACCATGACCCATGGGTGTCGCATACTTTTGGACATATAATATGCCTTTCCAGTACTACATATACTAAAATGATGCAATTAACTTTTCAGACACCGGGAAACAAAACACCAGATGTGCTAATGCGCTTCAGCATCGTTATCTGCATGCAGCAGCTTTTAAAACGCAGCAGCCTTTTTTGAACAATTTGCCCGTTTGAGTTCAACTCTGCTGGGTATGTGTGGGCTCGAGAATTCTCTGTATGAGTGTGTGTGCACCCAGAATTGATTAATTATGCATAAAACTCTCTTTATAACGGCACCTCAGAATTGTGCACTCTGCGAAAACACCGTCTCCGAGGGCTTTGTTGTGTGTCTGTGTGTATAAAAGTCTGATAACTGTAATTATTCAAAACTATAAAGGCGTAGCAGCGCTCCTTCCCCTCCCCAGCCCCCAAATTCTGCTCATGACAGAGGATGAGAAATCGCAAACAACGAGGGAAAATGTACGCAACTCTAATGCAACACCCGGACTGAGAGCAGCAGAAGAAGAAAAATAGAAAGTTCTGGCACATAAATAGTTTTTCACTCTGCAGCACACATAATACATTTACATTCGTTTTTTAAATGTGTGGTTGCTTTAACAGCCTTTTAAGTATAGTTTACACTTTTTAGTGTCTAGTGCATTGTGTGTGTGTGTGTGTGTGTGTGTGTGTGTGAGTGCCAACAGGCATGGCTGAATGCACTGTCTGGCAAGCCTGAAGAGTCAATAGATGGAAACAATGCCAGACTTGACTAATCAATGAGACCAATCATGAAGAGAGAATGATGATAATCACTTAAACAGATTGGGATCATAATCAATGTGGCCACCCTAATTGTCCTCCATTACACAGCTGGTATTGGCACTCACATTTAGTTGTGCGATCAGCAGTGGACCGAGTCTGTGCGAAGCACTGAACTCAGAGTTTCTGGGCAAACAACAACTTAGTGAAATGGTGACACTTGTGCTGCTTCTGACTTTTGAGTGCTGCTCCAGACAATATAGTGTGGGGCGATAACACCGGTGTATGTGCTAAAACCACAGTCCTGCTTTTAATGCACTAACTTAATAATCAGCCGCAATGTGTTTGATGAAGACTGATGCACTGTGATCAAAAGTTATATTAGAAATGTCTTCTCATATCTGGATCTCGGTGGATGGACAGTTTCTTCCTAATATCACAATTTAAGTTAAAGCCTTTGATGCATTTCTGTACCACTGAATGCAATATTCCTACCACTACCAAACTCCAGGGGTTTAAAATCTGTATGGACAGACGCACTGAGCTACCTACGCATTACACCTAGAGAAGCTGCTTGGTCATGGAA